GGCTTTTGAGTTGTGTGAAGTGAGACTCATACTTCCAGAAGATCAAGAGTCACTCTTCCCTGATGTCCCCTCCAACACTGGCTCATAGAGAAAAGATTCCGATGACAATTAAAATTTGATTGTTTATCCTGAACTGATTTTTTTAAAAAAGAAAACCTTATTCTGTACTCCTTTATCAAAATATTGTAAGTCTAATATTCATAATGATAAGGTGAGAAAATATATTCTGCCAGAATTCTATAACATGCAGATTTTGCCCTAAATTTGAATTTTTTTATTTCCTACTTCCTGTTTGCAAGAGCAATAACTTTAAGCAGACCAGAAAATAATCACCACATAGTATTTAGTCTACAGGAAAAAAAAATGTTTCTGTGTATCTAGTGCAAATTAATCAGAGTTATTGGCTTAAAATATCCTCAAAGGGTCAGCAAGGTTATTCAGAGCATAAGACCACTGAGCCCGATGACCCAAGTTCAGTCCCAAAACTTAGATGGCGGAGAGCTGACTCCCGTCAGTTGTCCCCTGACCTCCGCACATGCTCTCACACAGATGATCAGTGAGTAAAATTTTAGAAGTGTCTTCAGAGGGCTATGGATACGTTTACTGCAGGGGTGGATTCAGCTCTTTAAGCTCTGGAGACTCTCATCCTAGGCTCTTCAGATCCTAAAGGCCTTGAACATCGTTTGTAAGTTCTCCCAGCTGCACGGCGCCTGGAGACAGACCCAAACAATACTGTACATAGAGCCCTCTTCAGTCTGCATCTCTCAGACATGGACTGAAGAAAGGGCAATAGTTCTGGAGGATAGAATAGAGACAAACTTGACTGTCAGTCTAGGGGAGAGAGAGAGAAAGAGAGAGAGAAAGAGAGAGAGAGAGAGAGAGAGAGAGAGAGAGAGAGAGAGAGAATGAATGAATGAATTCCATTCCTCCTCCAGAGGAGATAATCACCCACTCAGAGAGGCTGCCACCTGCAGCTCTCTGTACTGAGTCTCATGGTGCTTTTTTGTAACTGATAAGGTCCAGCCCTCTTACCATCTTCTCGGGCTGGGAAAAAGACTACCCACTGGTGTATCTTTAAACCAGAAACAATCACATGTATCTAGATTAAAGCCATAACGAGTTTTAACATTTTCATGCTTAAAGAAACTTCATGTCCTCTTTCATTAAAATATCGAAGAGATAAAACCCTCCCTGAGTGACATTCTCTCATGGTTCTGTCATGCTTCCTAATCAGTAATTGGGGCCTCATCTCTCTCATACCTTTTGAGGCTATCTAACAATGCCTGTCCCTTTAGGGAACTGGAAGCTGGCAAGGTGACCAAGCTCTCGGAAATGCTTACACTTTTTTTCTTCCCTGCCAAAACATCTCTGCCCATTGTATCACACCTACATCTGCCATAGTGAGTTCCTGTCTGGCTTCAAGATGTCATTGAGTGGCCTGCCTCGGAGAGAAGACCCACTGATCTTCTCAACAACGTGTGACTAAAGCATCCATAGAGGGAAGAAAATGCTGACAGCTTTGATCAAAGAGAGGGCTGAAACCGGAGGCAGGCACTGTCAGGAGTGAAACCTAGGGTCCAATGAGTCACCCCTTCTTTAAAGAGGAGCGGAGTCTTTGGGAATGTGTTCTGAGTGTGGCACTAGCATAAGGTGAACAAAGAAGGCCTGTTTCCAAAAGTGCATGGCTGTTCAATTCGAGTGAAATGGTGAAATGGGCTTGGTTACTTTTCTTTGCAGTTAATATCAACAAAAGCAACAGCTCCTTTTGTTCATCCATCCTCCTACCAGTGAACTCTTAGATTGTTTCTATTTTTTTCCCATACAACCAATACTGCAAACACTGCAATGTCCAATTTAACATGTCACCTAGGTTTTTCTGCTTTTTTGAAAGAAGGTAGGTGTTTGTTGATTTTTGTCTTGCTAAGAAAAAACAAAAATTAAACACACCTTAGTTGGTGCACCGTAAGGCAGTGGATTCCAGCACTCAATGGTTCCAGGACTAGCAAGCGTCAGTGTCGCCTCGGCCATAGTAAGAAATGCAAGTCCCTCTGCCTTCCTCATGCCTTGACAGGTTCCCACCCAAGCATTCTGTGATTTCCATAAACCCTGTGATGGTTTGGCTCTGTGTTCAAGTTTTACCTCTCTGTAAAGATCCAGGTGGCCAAAGAGTTTGGGTCCCGAGCCCTACTCTTCCTACCTCAGGCAGAGAGCTTGTGAGAGTGGAGAAACTGTTTGCAGGTGGAAGCCTGAAGCTGTTTGGGAAATGAGTCATGGCTGCAAGTTCTCTCTGAAAACAGTGCAGGCCTGGGGGACCCAAGCTGTTATTACTGTGTTATCTCATCCTGGGAGGGGTTTGTTTGCTAAGTCAAGAGTCCTTTCTGCTGCTTTTTAAAAGGTGTTTGTTACTCTGGGTCCACGAGAGTTGAGCAAACACAAATGGAGGACTAACAGTTAAAGCTGAGTTTTAGAAAAATCACAAGATTTTTTTCTTGTTTTGTTTGTTTCTGTTTGTTTAAATGAAACTGTATCTAACTCCCCCACAGGCTTTGCTAGGGTGACTTCTTTTCTTTCAAGTCCTGTATTTAATCTGGTGTTCTTTATTAGTTCGGGTTGTCTGCTTCCTTAGAGTCATCTGAAAAGTCAGAGACCAGGTTTTGTTGATTTCAAAATATCCACCGATATTAAGGAATGCTCTGAGTAAAGAATCTCACCGAGGTTTTAACAGCCGGAAGGAGGTGATTCTGGGAAGGGATAAATGACTGAAAGAACGATCTCATTCTGGGGTCTCCCCACTCACCATCACCAAAGGGCGGCAGTGGCTCCCAACGTCAGACACTCATGTGGCTTTCCTGTCAGATAGCTTTCTAAAAGCCAGAAGATGAGTTTTCCCCCCAGAGTCTTTCTGGGAAGCCCAGAAGGCAGACACATTTTCCAGATTCTTCATTGGAAAGTAACCAAGTAGAGTGGGCCTTGTTTGCTGGAGTTGGGCAACTATTCACTGAGTGTCTACTGCATGCCGAGCCCTGTCCTGCCAGGGCTTGCACCCTGTATTTACAGAGGCAATGGGGAATCAAATGAGCTGTTATTGATAGTTGTGAGTTCCGTTAGCCATGTCCCTGTGCAGTGAACGGACAGGACGGCCGCTTCTCTCCAGCTACAAGCTCAGAAAAGTCCCTTGAAGAGGCGAGGTGCTACCCAGTGTGTGGCAGGAGCTTGATGGAGATGAAATCAGGTGTGCACATGCATGTGTGCATGCACACAAAGAGGATTGCACCCCATTGGGAGCCAGTGATTGACATGCCATCTGTGCGCCCATCTTCCTGACTGTTGTAGATGAGGACGTGTGACTTGCTGCATCGTCTAAAGTTAGGAAGGGGAACAAAGACTGCTGGAAACGAACAGGCAGTAAGCAGATCTCACAACCGGGAAGGTGAAGTTTCACACTTTTCAAGAACTGCTCGGGCAGTGTTCTCGTTGTGTTTTAGCGCCCATGCTTGTTCATGGATGCGAGGCATGCTCATTAACATATTTATCACAATTAAATTCAAATAAATTTGAGAATAGTTAAAGACAAGTCAAAATAATGAAACAAAATGCCACATTGTTTATAATAGGCGTCCTTCCTTTTGCTCCCCAAGGCCCATCTGGATAACCTCTCTGTTGCCCTCTCTCTTAGCAAATTATTGTCCTGGAGACTGTCTGGATTAGAGGATTTCCATTCTCAGATTCCTCAGACCCCTGAAGCGGCTGAGCCCTGGTGTATAAACAGACTCACCCCTCCCCCTCTCTCTCATGTGTAGACACACATGCACTAGCAGGGCTTCTGTTTATTCTGGATAACAGAATTCAGGAGCACGGACTCAGGCTCAGTTTCCTGTAACCACCATGTGGCCCGAGCCACTGTCTAGATTTCTGTGTGTTCCAGTTTTATCATTTGTAAAACAAATGACAAAATTTCCTACTTCAGGGGATAGAGACATGGCTCAGTGGTTGAGAGCCAATACCTCTCTTGCAGAAGACCAAGTCTGGTTCTTAGCACCCACCTTGGGTGACTCACAATTGACTGTTACCCCAACTGCAAAGGATCTGATGCCTCTGGCCTCTGGGGAGCACCTGAATATATACAATTAAAAATAAAATCTTTTTAAAAGTCCTAGTGTTGTAAATTAAAAGAGAATATGAATTGATATTGAAAGTTAAGAATGAGGATTAAAAGAGATAACACAGTAAAAGATTTATCAGAAAACCTGGCAGATTATCATGAAACAATTGTGAATCATTTCTAGTACGATTTTTTGTTGTCATACCAAGGGTTTTTATATAAATTATCCCAACAGAGAGTGATGCTAGGATACAAAAGAAGAAAGGAAAGGAGGGAGAGAGGAAGGAGGAAAGAGAGAGAAAGAGAGAGAGGGGGAAGGAAGGAAGGATGGAAAAAAGGAAGGAAGGAAGGAAGGAAGGAAGGAAGGAAAGAAGAAAGAAAGAACAAATCCCTTTCTATGTTGAGGGTTGTCTCTGCTCAACTGCATAGACAATTGAGAGACTCGTGGTGGGCAGTGGGCAGGGGGATTGAGAAATGGTTGTTTGGCAGTCATCGTCATTTTGGGGGTTGCCATAGCAAAATACCACAGATTGTGTGTTTTGATCAGCAACAATAGGTTTTGCAGCCTTCGGAAGACTGGAATTTCACAATCAAGGCATCAGCAGCACTGGCTGCTTCTAGGATTTGCACTTATTTTGCAGGTAGACTTGCCTTGCTCTCTTTCATGGGGTTCTCTATCGCTGTCTAGGGGGCCAGCCTCCAGCATCACAGGGCTTTGATAGGAATCCACAGAGTTGGGAAGGCTAAACTTTTCTATCTGAGGGGAGTTAGGGAAAAAGATCCTCCCCAAACTTTCTTTACAGTTTCCTTCTTTATTCTTTCTCTTTATTCTTTCTCTTTCATGTTTCCCCACAGCTTTTATACCCCCTTTTATATATAAGAATCTTCCAGGCAGTACAAGAGTCAAAACAGTTGCATTCCATTTTCAAGTGAATGATTATAGGTAAAAACATGGTTTTCATCTCCCTCACATGATTAAACATTTTATGTATTACAAGTGAAAAACAAATTATCCCAAGAACCCACATACATTCATACCCAAGCAACTTGTTATAGATTAACCATGTGGCAAACGAGGTGTTCTTGTCAGTTCTCTTACTGGCAGGCTGCACTTTGCAGTAACAAAGAAAGGGCCAATTATTTTATTACTTACCTTGAAAGGTAATCTTAGAAGGAATCTTAAAGGAATCACAAACCTAAGCCTTTATATATGAAAAAAAACCACTCAGCTCTAATTTAAATCTTTGGGGGTACATATCCATTCATCAATAGCTATATATATGAGATTGAGGGAAGAAATATGTATGAGGAATTAATTGTTATCTTTGGTCATCAACCAAACCTAGTAAGGAGAGTATGTCAGCCAGTAATAATTGGGTTGTTTTGTTCTTTTTCCCTGACCTTGAAGAGTTCCATATTCAACCATGTGCCTTTCTAACACTTTAGATTGTCTTGCACTTTTCACCTCAAAGCTATTTAACAAAAACATTTTAGTCTAACTTTTTTATTTTCAAAGCTTTGTTTTAGCTGTGATGCACTCTGAGACCTGTGAACATATCTCCTGACATTAAGGTTAAAAACAAGACTTAAACTAGCTGGGCTATTGGGACTCAATTGTCGGTCATTAACTTGATCTACAATCCATGCATCTCCATAGGTGAGACTCACAGACCCTGGCTGAAACATATCCTTGCATTTATTTTCATTCATCAAAACTCTCTATAGGCTATCATTTTTATTATCAAATTAGAAAGTACAGTTTAGGGAGGGGTCATCTTCTTGACAATCCACAGGTAAAAATCCCAGTAGAATGGGATGCTTCCAAGAGATAAACACACTTTATTATAGGCAGTGGAGAGCTCCCCACGTTCACCCACACCATGCTAGATAGCAGAGAAAGAGAGCCGCAGCAAACCTGTAAAAACACAGCAGAAGCACAAGACATTCTAGGGTCTGCAGTTCCAAGGCCTTGCAAATGAAATTGGTTCATCAGAGGATTCCCTTCTGGTGAACCGACACCTGGAAGGAACTTCAGTTGCCACCTGCTGCTTCTCTGGCATGGCCAATGACGACTCTCCTCTCTGCACACAGATCCCAAGCATCTTCATCGGATGGCATTGTTCATCCAGGGCCCAGCCTAATGGTCTTGTTTCAACTTAGTCACCCCTTCAAAAGGTAAGAATCCAAGTAAGATCACACTGTGAGTACTGATGGTTACGTACCGCTTTGAATTAGGATAGGAGATATAATTCAACAGACACACACACACACACACACACACGCACGCACACACACACACACACACACACACACACACACACTGGTAGGTAGACCAGTTGTTCCATCCACAGTGAACGAGTCCTTCCTACCCATCCCAAGCTGTTGCCTGTGACTTCCTTCCTATCCACCTATGTAAAATGTACTCATTTTCCAAAACACACACAATATCATCTCTATCAGGAGTTGCATACCCTGCCTGTCCTTGTGTTCCCGCCCTGGGCCAGTTGAACCCTATCTCAGTTAGTGCACACATGTCTTTGTCATTGGAGATTTGTCAGTTGAGTAACTTGGTAAAACCCAAAAGGATGTTACAGACAAATCATAACAAACGATACAGAATGAATGCTTGTTGAGACAAAACCGAGGCTTTAATTTTGATGGCCTTTGGCTGAGTAGGGCAGTGATTGAGTCTGTTGGTGGGCTATGTTCTGAAACCTTGACTAAAATCTGCTTGCTCATCTATGTGACCAGAACTTGAGGTTCTATCTAGGTTCTTTGAAGGAAGCTGTAGAGTAAAACTGAGGTTTTAGTCACAGTGGGGCAATGGGGGGGGCACTGTTGGGTAACTTTTAGTTTCTGATAGGGAGATTCTCCAAAGAATTCCACACTCCTGCTGCACACTTTCTCTTTCCATACCATGTCTTCACTGTGATGTGTTCCCATAGAGACGGGAGAATAGCAATTTCAAGATTAGAAAACTCAGCTCATCAACTTTTATAGCAGCAAACATGCTTCAATTTAATTCTGAAATGTGAAATTGACTTCTTGGTTCTCGCTACAGAGAGTCTTTTTCTCAGAGGGGGGATCCAGAACCCCCGGTGATAAGATCCCTTACGAGTGTGGAATTCTTATCCCGCACAGCTTCTGTGGGTGCTATTTTAAGATGAGGAATTGCAAGGTTATTTTGCATCCGGAACTTTAAGGGAAGAAGCGTCAGCTTTGTGGGTCTGCTCAAGACATTGGGTTTTCTAGTCTGCTCTGCTCTGCCAGTCCAAAGTCTAGTCTGCTCTGCCTTTTTATCTCTGACCGTAGTGACAGCTTTCAAAGAGAGCAACATGCTTTGCACACTTTGCCTGTTCACCAGTTCACTTAATGCAATTTTATGGAAAGGAAGCCAGCATACCCTACACCTAGCACATGTATACAAGACAGCAGATGCCCAGGGCTAGGGCTGATTAAAGCTCAGTTTCCAATTAATGATGTGAATGCAGAAAACGGCCTTTCCTATCAGCAGCCCTTGGTTTTTAATCCCCTCATAAACAGTGCTGGAAGTCTCGTTTCACGTTGCATTACCTGTGTGCCTTTACCGTGTTACAGATTGTTTAAGATATGCGGAGACCACGAACTCTGCTACACCGCCACAAACTCTAAGTGACTGGGATAAGCTGAAAGAAGCGGGAATGTGAAGGGAGCACCCTTAGTTTTGTCTGACGAGAGAAATATCACAGACAACCTGGGCGAGAAGAGGGCTTTGACAGGTGGATGAAGTCGACATCTGCCAGAGTGACAGGAAAGAATGTGGAGCAAGAGCGAGAGCGTGCGGGAGTGAAAAGGAAGGGTCTGTGTGGGAATCAGCGGCACCGGGACAAGAGTGAGCAGACGAGACCAAACAGAGAGACAGGTGCATAAATTAGATATGAGAGAACGAGCGCTGCTGAGAAGTCAGACGCGGGAGCGTGGGCAGAATCCAGCACACAGGAAACTACCCTGGCACCATCCGAGAGACTGTGGATTGATGCTTAGAAAGCAGCAAGCGAGCATGAAATGCCGTCATCGTGCGCCCGAGTGCCTGCACTGTAACTGCGCATTCAGATCCAGGTTTGTTCAGAGGTCAGCACATTCAAGGAAGTCTTTCTGGAATGGGCTGCGGTGAGGCAAGGTCTGAAGAAGAAAGCATTCTCCAGGACAGACTCTCAGCAGTGAGATTACAGCTGTGGGCAGGGGTGGGACACACAAAGGGCAATAAGAAGATGGGCCCGGGAATTAGGAGGGAGTTGATGTGCAGGGATTAACTGGTTTACTTTACTGTTTTCTCAATCTTGAGTGCACACTGGGATCACAGAGAGGTTTAAGGAACACTAGGGCCTGGGTCCCATCTATAGCGACTCAGCCTGAATCCCACCCGTAGCTACTCTGACTTATCTAGCCCAGAATGTAGTCCTTGCAATAAGATTCTTACTGCTATCAACTTTTGTTCTTCCACAGTTTCGTACATGTACACTCTATGTCTGGGTCCTTCCTTCCCTCTCACCACCTTCTCTTTCTTTCCAACCTCTAATAGCCCTCTGATTCTCTACACATCTCTTTCCCCTTTAGACTACCTACTCTAGTTAGTGTCCCTCAAACACTAGGGCTATGTTTGTGAATCTGAGTTTGGAACTCACCAAACCATGAGAACCTGGTAGGCTCGCTAGTGGGTATTCACCCGGATATAATTCTCCCCCTTTCTCAGAATATGTTGGTAGGCAATAGTTCAACAGTACGTGGTAGGATCTGGTGAGTTCCTTTCCTTGCCATAGCTGACTGTTCAGAGGCACCCCAGCCAGAGTACGTAGCTGCTGTGATTCTGTGGTTTCCACGGCCGTGACATGTTTAGAAGGTGGTGTTTCGCAGCCCTTCTTCCCATCTTTTAGCTCTTATGTTCTCTCTGCCCTCCTCTTCTGCAGTGTCCCCTGGGCCTTAAAGTGGGTGGTATGAATGTCTTGATTAGGAATGAATGCCCAGCCATGCTTTACTTCCAGCATCTTGTGCAGCCATGGGTCCTTGCATTGACCTCTGCTCAGCACAAGGAGAGGCTTCCTGTGTTCGAGGCTGGAAGCAGCCTTTGTCTGGTCCAAGTCAGGCTGAGAACTGCAAGAGGAATTTTTGAAGCTCACCAAGTGATTCTAGTCTGTAGCCAGATTTTCATTACTATAATAAAAGTTCTACATAAAGAAAAGGTTTATTTAGTACACATTCTTAGAGGGAAGTAAAAAGGGACTCTAGTGATTCTTCAGAAGATGCCCTACCCTGTGGTCTAAGGATCTCATACTAGGCCCACACCTTAAAGGATTCACCTCCTCCAGATACAACCATCTTGGGGAGCAAGTTCCCAACTTAGTACATTCTTAGTGCACACTCAGGTCACCTCTGACTCGTAGCAGAGGGTAGATGATTCTGAAGATTCACACAGTCCAAGTTAGAAGTTTGGATTTGGTTACCAAGGCATTGCATGTTCCTACAAAAAATGGGGAAACAGAATAGAAATAGACTCTCAGGAAGAGAGGATGCTACTAACTGAGAGGAGACTGGGGAAAGGAGCGATGGTCATGCAAATGGGTCTGAGCAGAGCTCCAGCAGCGATCAGAGCAGGAGTTAACAGAGCAACAGGCTGTTTGCAGGAAAGGGAAGAGGAGGGAAATTCCCAGGGAGGCACTGAAGAACCAGAGCCTGGTGACAGTGACAGCAAGAGCTAGTTAAAAAAAAAGTGGATTCGGAGGTTGTGAAATAGAAATAGGGGCCCTCATGGGGACAAGAGATGCCCTCTCATGCCCCTTGCTCCACAAAGCCTGTTATCCACGAGGAGATTTTCTCCTTTCTTATCAACAGCGTATGGAATGTGCCTGCCCCTTATCTTCTCATCACAAGAAAAAAGAAAAAACAAAAATCACCAGGTGCAGCAGGGTCATGAAGGACGTCTCCAAGGACAAGCAGGCTGCTGATCTGTGTCTTACAGGAAAATATCCTCAAGCCATAAGGACGCAATTTCTTTAAAAAACATCATTTTCTAAGAAAAAAAAGTGGTGTTTTTTTTTTCACCACATTTGTACACACAAATGTACACAGTGGATTTTCTTGTTTGTAGCCATCAGGAAGGACAGGACAATGTTCTTTGCAAGAAAATGGAAACAACTGCGGAGAATCGTGTTCAGCAAATTAAGTCATTCTCAGAAAACCAAAGTATTGTACGTTTTCTCTCATTTTGTGAGATCTATAAAATCAAATTTGTATATATGACCTGAAAGCAGAAATGAAACCATCCAGGGGAACAAACAGGACTAAGGGGAGAAGAAAATGGAAGTTACAGCGGGGAAATAAGCGCCCAGTACACTAGACATTTGTATAAAAATAGTGACCTCATAGAACTCAGCACCCTATTAGCTGAATATATGCTAATGAAAAATATATGTATATATATATATATATATTTCCATTGGTTTCTATGTATGAATATATGTAATATATATTATATATATTTCTCATGAGTGACAAAGTAAAAGTTTGTCTTTACTGGTAAAAATCTGTTCCTTTGTCTGCTGGTGGTAGGCAGAGTCTCCCACCATCCATTCTGTCTCCTTTTCTTCAGCTCCTTTCTCCACTCAGTTAAAGCTTCTGCCCAGTGCTCGTATTCTGAAACTCCATTTTCATTTCTGCACTCACAGGGAAAAAAGTTCCTGATATCAGGGGGACCTGGGCTCAAATCCCAGCCCTGCCCACGTTCCAGCATTAGAGATGAGTGTTCAATAAACCAAGACAAGAATTGATCATGCAAAGGTGTAGTGGGGACAAGTGAGGTCACGTAGGGAAAGAACCTGGCACTGGAGCCGAACGTGCATGGCGCAGAGACCGTCTGTGTTGTCATTCCTGCAGGAAATAGGTTGTCAGAGGCAGAACTTCCGCTCGGAGACACAGCAGCGATCTAAACGAACACAGCCTGTGACAGCAGTAGGTTTTCGATAGTAGACATAGACCCTCAATATGTGAATTTTCCCACCCTCGAAGAGCAGAGGAAGCCCTGAGTGAATATGCACTGTTTGACATGGGCACAGCCATGTTAAGAACCCAAGGCCTCAGACTCAGGGGAATGGGCAAAGCTCCTCCACTGGAGGAGGCTCAGAGGGACGGCAGGCCTTCCTTCGATCAAGTGTGGATGTCGGCAGTGTATGTAAAAAATAGCAATGGCAGCTTCCTTTGCCTGAGGTTTCTTGCCTATAGAGACCAGATAACTCCTTCCTCTGTGCTGTACATAAAAAGCACACTGAGCTCCCAGGCTTTGCACAGAAGGTGCCGCCCCATCAGACTGGCGCATGGCCTGCCTGACTCCAGCTTTCCGACGCACGTGTCTGTGTGTCTGTCCTTTCTTCATTCCCTCGCCACTGCCGTCAGGTTCGCGGGACCCACCCAAACAGGACCTCATGGATTGGAAGCTACATTTCTTAACTTGTGGGGCTCCTGGAATGGTGTTTTGGTTCTTAAATGATTCATAGATCATTTTCATGAATAAGTAAATAAATATATTTAACTCTAATGCATGGTGGCAAGAATCTATAATCCCAGCTGAGGCAAGAGAGTCAAGTTTCAGGGCCAGTGTGGGCTACAGTGTGAAGTCCTGGCTTAGAAGCAAAATGGTGGCCTGCTGTACTAACTGCCTAAGCAACATCTCCAGACATCCTTACTGACGGCTTCTGCCTTCCTGCAATAGTCAATTGAGTCCCTAAACTACAACACATTACTAGACCTTTTCTTTCTTTTTAAATTGAATTTTGTTTCATATATTTGATCATATTTTCCCTCCCCCAGGCCTTCCCTAACTCTCCCGACTTCCCTTCCCACCCAGCTTAATGTTCTTTTTCTCCTATTCTCTTTTTAAAAATTCAACCAAACAAAAAGAAACAACCCCCCCCCCCAAATCCACAAACCAAAAATAAAAACAAGCAAGTGAAAGACCAATAAAGATAAAAAAGAAATGTAAGACAAAGCAAAAGGAAACAAAAGTCCATAAAAATACCACTGAGTTCATTTTCTGTTGGCCAACAACTCCTGGGCGTGGGACCTGCTCAGGTCCTGTGCAGGCTGCCACAGTATCTGTGAGTTCACGTGTGTAACAGTCCTACTGTGTCTGGAAGACACCATTTGTCTGGCGTCTTCCATCACCTCTGGCTCTTACAATCTTTCCATCTCTTCTTCTGCTTAGATCCCTGAGCCCTGCGGGAAGATGAAGACATTCTTTAGGCCTGAGTGCTCCAAGTCTCTCACTCTCTGCCCATTGTCCAGTTGTGGGTCTCTGGGTTAACTCCCATCTACTATGAGAGGCAGCTTCTCTGATGAGGGCTGAGTGAGGTATTGGTCTATGGATAAAGCACTGTGTCATTGGGAGTCATTTATTGCTGTGCTCCTAAAAGAAGAAGAAGAATAGTAAGTTTTCCCCTAGAACCGTATCCTGTCTAGTCTCAGGTCCTTGCCACGTTAGCACTGTCAGGTATGGGTTCCACCCCATGGAGTTGGCCTTAAACCCCATGAGAAAGTGGTTCTGCCATAATATATGGGCTTCGATGTCAGTTGTTATTCTAATGGGTCTGCCTTAATGTGGTTCGTGGTCTTTTCCCCTTGCAGCTTTTAATATCCTTTCTTTCTTCAGTGCATCTAGTGTTTTGGTTATTTTGTATTGTGAGCATGTTCTTTTCTAGTCCAATCTATTTGGTGTTCTGTGTGCTTCTTGTACTTAGGCAATCATGTCTTTTAGATTGGGGAAGTTTTCTTCTATGGTTTTGTTAAAAATATTTCCTGCGCCTTTGAACTGGGTTTCTTCTCCTTCCTCTCTCCCTGTTATTCCTAGGTTACATCTTTTCATACTTCCAGAATTCCTGCTATTTGTCCTTGGATTTGGCATTCTTTGAGCAATCTGTTTCTTCCACCTTGTTTCATTCATGACTTACAGTCTGTTGCTGAGATTTCTGTTTGTCCTCCTAAGATTTTCATGTTCACTTTTATTTCAGTTTGGATTTTTGCTACTGATTTTATTTCTACTTTCATGTCTTGAAGTGTTCTCATTATTTCCCTCAACTCTTCATGTTCTTTCTCATGGTCTTCGTTAAGATATTTATGCATAGCCTCCTTAAGGTCCTTAAACATATTCCTAATTGCTAGTCTGAAGTCCTTGTCTTGTGCTTCAGCTAGATTGTATTTCTCAGAGCCCATTTTAGTAGAGTTACGGCACTGTGTACTCTCCATGAAAGAAAAATTCAAGTCCCCATATTTGAGGAATAGAGAAGGGCGTCGGTGAAGGCAGTAATATGTCAAATGTTGAAAACGGTCTTCTCTCTTTAATGTGCTATCGCTTACGGTAGCTTTCGGGTTGGTGTTCCTGTCACAATATCTCGGCATGGGAATGAAGGGCACGTGCGCACTGTACAGACACCCACCCACCGTCAGAATCCCTTTACTACCGGGCACCAGTCCAAACAACAGTCTACACCCTAGCAGAGGACTGTGGCTAAGAATGAGAGGTCAACCATCTTTTTTTTACAAGTCTGTTGTGCTAACCTTCAGTGGCAGGAGACCCTAAGAGATTGTAACTTCTAAGCTGGGGTTAATGGTACCTGGGTCCTAGAAGGGGAGATAATGGCTTTCCCTTCTACCTCCTCGCTTTCCACCCCAGCCTCCCCAATCACTCACTCTTCCCACTGTCTTTTACCAAACTTGCCAAGGTGCTGCTTCTCTGGAATGGAGGTCCCCATGCCTTGACCTGAGATGCTGGGATATGAATTCCTGATCCCTGGACCCCTTCATGTATGACCAATGCCTAGCATGAAAGAAGGGCAACAACAACACTTGAAAGGGAAGAGCTGGGCAGCTGGGCGGGGAATGGACATCAGAAGACATTGCAATTGTTTTGAAGCTCCCTGTATATAACCAACCTGTGGGTTAATCCATCCATGCTGTATGAAGTTACAGTAGCTGCACTCAAAGTAAACACACATCTTCAAGGCAAGAGCCTGTGCCCAGTCCGGTCACTTGTCATTCCCAATAGTCTCTCTCACCTCGGCCCTGGGAAACCACTTCCCAGCTCTATAGAGCTTCCTAATTTTGGCATTCTACATCAATGGCGTCATATAATTTGTGATCTTTTGTGTCTGATGTACTTTTGACATTTTTTCAGAGCTGAACCATTTGTGGTGTGTATCAGTGCTTTATTCTATTTTGGTGGTAGAATAGTTTTCTAGTCGATAGATTTCCATCGCTTTCTCAACTGACAGAAAGTGGGGGCTTTTCCAATGTGGGTATTATAGGTGGTACTACAATAGCATTTGTACACAAGGTTTTTATGGAATTTGTCTATTAATAGTTACGTAATTTTTTAGACAAGCGGTTTTCTCAGCATATTGGAGAGTAAACATATGTTTCTGTATCCCTGAGTTCCGGGTCAATAAGATATCCAGAGTGTTGCTCTCGAAGTCTTCTGTGCTACTAAATATTCTTCCCATCACTGTACAAGGGGGGAGTCCCAATTTCCCATATCTTTGCTAGCTTGTACTGTCTGTCATTCCTGTCTGTATTGTATGGTAACTTATTGTATGTTTGATTTGTGTTTTTTAATAGTTGGTATATGAAGCATCTTTTTATGTCTTTATTAATGGTCTTTGGAAAAGTGTCTATTCAAATCCTAGCATCATTATTTTAATCACGTTATCTGTCACTTTATTACTACGCTCTTTTTAGACTCTAAATGCAAATCTGTCCGTATTTAACTTATAAATATCTTGACCATTCTGTGCTTTCTTTAAGAAATGTATTTGTGTCCACATGATGCATGGGGGCACACACTACAATGCACATGTGGAGGTCGGAGGACAAGTCTGTGCACTTGGTTCTCTCCTTCCACCTCAGTGTGGGTTGGGGGCATCGAACTCAGGTCTGCAGACTTGGGTAGCAAGTGCTTTACCTACTGAGCAATTCACTGCCTCATCTTCTCCCTTTCTTGTTACATGCTTTGAAGTATAAAATGCATTATTTTGATGAAGTACAGTTTATTGTTTTATTTCTTTTGTTTCATGTTCTTTGGGTGTGCCATGTAAAAAGACTGCTCCGTCCATGGTTACAGAAACTTATTCCTGTACCTCTGTTGCTTAGGTTTTAGTGGTTAAGCTCAGGCCTGAGAAAGGGGAATCAACTTCATTCTTTTGGGATTTGTGCATCTTTTTTTTTTGAAAGCTTTTTTTTCTCTCATTTAACTGTTTTTGAAGCCATCAATAATTTGTATATCACACTGGGTTGCTTGTCTTTAGCATGAGAAAATGACAAAGGTTTGGTAATCTTATAGAACAGGCTGCTACTGCTTCCTATCATATTTATATCCTTACAGCATTTTGAGCCGGGTGTGCTGGTACACACCTGCAACCCCAGCGTCGCAGGCAGAGCTGTCCGCTGTCAGCCAGTCTGCAAACACTGCGCACTGTTTCTTTAGCACACAACCCTGTGGGGTTATGTGGCTCAGTCATTTTACCTCAATTCTCCGTACTTATCACTGGGTTTTGGCAGAAGTCCAGGAGTCTGGTCCATTCTGACTAACTCAGAATCCTTTTCAAAAGGTATATCCTTCCGCTGCTGAGAAATTAAAACAGCCGCCCTTCCTGATGGTGACCAGGGGTCAGGAATCAGAGTCAGAGGATGGAATGGTTCCCTTCCCGTCCAGGCCACTTTGTTTAGTGACCCGTGAGGAGCATAAGCTGAGAAGAGCCCGAGGGCTGGCCAGCTGGGGCTGCTGTCTTTTGAAAGGGAAGGCAGGCTTGGAAGCTGCCTGGCACAGGACCCTCTACCTATAGACCTAATAAGAGGAGGCTGTGGAGTAGATCTCCAGTCTCGGCTACTCAGCCACCTTGTTGGTTCCAGGTTGGGTGAACCTGCAGCCCCAGATATTTCCACCTCTGCCCTGGCCTGGCCGTGGTCTCAATTTGGACACAAAGAAGGAAGGAGAACGGGATTCTTGGACTGGAACTTGTGGCCCGTTGACCCCTCCCCAGGCCTTGAGTCTCTCAGCGATGCCTTCTGTTGTGGCATCTCCCGTATAGAGGACGAGGGAGGGACATAGGGAGAGATGCGGTTTCAGTGACCCAGCGGGAGCCTAGAGAAGACAAAATTTGATCTGCTCAGATCATTTTTGCACATTGTTGTAAAATCTTAGCTGTGGGTCTCTTTTCCCTGTGACTGCTGCCCGGATAAGTCAGCCAAATAACCTGAGAAATTAATTCTGCTGACACTTTTGTGAGGCGCCTATACTTACGCCATTTGCATAACTTGCACCAACTTCTGCTCCCTTCTTCAGCGGTGCATTTGGCCCATCTCTATGCCAAAGATGAGAGCTCACCTTCCTGGCATTGTCTCTGCCTTGAAAGTGAATATGTGAATATGTGGTAAAAAAAAAAAAAGGCACAAGCAAATACCCACCACCCGGTGTGCGGTGCGGTCGTGCGCTAGAGCGCTCACCTTTGTGAGAACTTCACTGTGCTATTCACCGCCCCTTTCTAAACCTGCAAGGCTGGGAGTTCCAGCCCTCCTTGAATAAAGGGTGCTCTGGGACTCTAAGTACCCACGGTTAAATATGCAAATGCAGTGGTCCCCGAAGGTATACAACAATACTCCTGAAGGACGCTCAGGAAACTGTTGCTGCAGCGAGGGAGGCAGCACTGGAATGCGGTGGATAAGACCAGGAATGGTGATGGGCCTAGCCAGAGGGTCAGCCCTGCAGTTTCCCGACCCAGAATGCGAATGCAATCCCTGCAGTGGGACACACTGATGTGCCCACCTGCCCGCTCTTCAGCTCCGTGTCACTGAGTAGACTGCTACTTTCTTGCCTACATGTTCTGGTAAGCAGTAGAGGGGTCAGGGAGATCTTGAGTCTCAGCTTAGTCCCTGGCTTTCATTTCCCTTTCTGCTTTCCCTGTGATCTAGATTTGTCTGAGTTCCATCCCTAGGACCATCTTCTATCCGCAGCTTTTTTCCTCCTGGCTAAACTTGACCTTCTTCTTGTTATCCCCATTAATATTAATAACAGCCCACATTTGCTTAGTACTTGGTAGCGCGGAAGATGCTGGGTGATTCTTACATGTTATTTCATTTTGTTGCTATAGTAACCGCTGCAAAGGGGACATTAGAATGGTCTTTGTGGAGGCAAAAGCGAGGTTTTGAGAGAATTTAAAAACATGCTCATAGCCAGACTGGTATGGGGTGCAGGCAAGGTTCGGAGGGGCCTGTGGGAGCAGCTCTGTCCAGCTCAGCATTACCAGGGATCTACCAGGTGCCGTGAACTGTCTACCAGAACTGCCTTCCTTGGGCCCATGGACTCTTTGCTGTCTCCCCTGCCCGTCTGCTGTCCATGCTGCTATTCCCTCAGCTAGGAAACGACATCTCTCGGCCCGACTGACTCCCAGGCAACTTCAACCTCACTTCCTTGGAGAACCCATCTTGGTGGGGGCCTCCCATCTATGCACCCTTATTTCCTTGATCATCAGCATTCATGACAATGTTTTGTGTCTATGCCCATTATTAGACTGTAAGGGGTTGTGACATTTTGAGTTCCGAATCCTCAGGGCCAAGCTCTGCTCCTGCACAGATCCCTGGAGGAAATGGGCTTAGCGGTTGCTTCTAGCCTCTGGATCTTTTCCAAACCCGTTCTATGTGTGATTTCCCTAGTCTCAGTCTTCTGGACTCACTGGCTGTGTGTGTGTATGTTGCTAGGGATGTAACCCAGGCCTTCTAGACCCATTGGCCATGTGTGTGTGTGTGTGTGTGTGTGTGTGTGTGTGTGTCTGTGTGTGTCTGTGTCTGTGTTTGTGTGTGTTGCTAGGAATGTAACCCAGGCCTTCTGGACCCACTGGCTGTGTGTGTGTGTCTGTTGCTAGGAATGTAACCCAGGCCTTCTAGACCCACTAGCTGTGTGTATGTGTGTGTGTATGTGTATGTATGTATGTGTATGTGTGTGTATATGTATGTGTTGCCAGGGATGTAACCCAGGCCTTCTGGACTCACTAGCCATGTGTATGTGTTTGTGTATGTGTGTGTGTGTGTGTGTGTGTGTGTGTGTGTGTTACTAGGGATGCAACCCAGGGCTTTGCCTGTGTGGCAAGCACTCCCCTGTGAACTCTACTCCTGGCCTTCTTACTTGGGATTCTGTTTTGCTAGGTTAAGTCCAAGGATGGTTTGTCTGTTTTACTTGTTGGTTTACTTGCTTGTTGATTGTTTGTTTGAAGTCAGTATCAGTATGTGGGCCAAATGAACTTTGACCTCATGATTCTTGTGCTGCGGTTTCTAGAGTGATGGAATTACAAACTTGGGTCACCCACCCGGCTCTAGGTGAGAACGTAACGGAGCCCAGGTAGGAAGACCAGAGACAGAAGCTCCCTGAGAAAGCATGTGGGGACCACTGGACTGACAACTGTGGTGGGGGAGGGGGACTCGCTAGGCTGTACAAGCTTAATTTCTCTAACCTTAGGGTAATTGCAGGAGAGTCCAACCTGCGTCTAGTGGGGTCCTCAGCCTACTTGATAGAAGTAGATAGAAGAAATGTGGATTTTTTTTTTGGAAAAATAATAGAGACATATCCATTCCTTGAATGCTGTTCTTGATTAAACATTAAGAAGAACTAACTTATGAATTTAAAGCGAGCACAGATATCTCTAGGCCTTACACACCCTCCTATGATTACATTCTGATGGTGCCTGCAAGGTCCCGGAGGCAAACACACATCATGAGGTCAGTTTGCTAGCTTCTGAGGTTATAGTTCCCTCTGTCCTTACTAAAATCCCAAGACATGGTTGCCCCGCCCACCTCTTCCTTCTGTGCATCAGGAAGCAAAGGTTATGCAACTCACCCAAGACCGTGTGTCTCCTCCTTGGCCCAGATAGAATTTGAACTCAGATCTGTCTGAACCCTGAGTCCAGTGTGACTCGGTGTCTCTTTCCGTGTGTCACGGCCTTGTTATGGGCCAGGACCTCCTTGGCACAGTGCAGCCCTTTCACTTCCTCATTCCTTGTCACCTTAGCGAGGCAGCTGGATCACAGAAAGCAGGAGGAAAGGGAGGCTCAGCTGTGACAGGGCAGCGGTGCAAAGGACACTTGGCTGGCTTCTCTTTGTCAAGCAGAGGAGAAGCCTCTGCTAGACGGCAGGTGTAAAAGAACGGGAAACCTTTCTGCTCTTCTCTCACCGTGCTGCTCACCAAGCAGAAACGGTTAGAAACGCTCTGGGTCAAAGAACAGACCTGCGTTTACTTTTTTTTTTTGTATCCAAATTTTGTTTTTCTACATCCAGAAAAATATTCCATCTAACTCAACTAAGAACCCTGGACTCATAAATAGATATCCCCCGAACATAATCAAAATGATAATTTCCCCCTCTGGGGCTAGACCAGCCCCGGTGGCCCAACTGCAATTACCGTCTATCTGCCAGACAACTGTGCTATCTCATTTTGTCAATCCATACTAATTTTCAGCAATGCAAAGAGTGGGGTGGAGCCCCTCCCCCCGCTTCTTGGCAGCTCAAATCCTCTCAGTCTCCAGAGGCAAGCCTGACTGCTGGAAGCCAAATGGAATTTGCAATTCCCATGGTGGCCTTTACCGTTGTTGTGCAAACACCACCCTCGTAGGTACCTGCCTAGGGAGCAGCATTCAAGGCTGTACAGTGCCTGGTTCAGCAAGGTCAGGACTGTGGCAGCCACCATCCTAACCAGGCCACAGAGCCACTGCCCCTTTCTTCGGAAGTGCTGCCTCCAAGGTCAGCTCCAGCTGCAGAGTGGGTCTTCACTACATAGGGGATAAGGGGAGGAGGCTGTCAGCGTTCCCTGGAGTGCTTCAGTGTTTTAGGTGTGCCAAAAAAGTGGGCCCATCGATGACAGAGGCATTTCCTGTTCTTGATCCCTTCTGCAAACGGAGCACCGTGTCACGAGGTGGGTGATGTAGATAATTACACGGTGTGCGGCAGAGGCCCATTCAGAGCTGTCATCAAGAGGACTCCTGATGACAGGCAGGTCAGTACTCTATTTCCATTGTCCGGGGTGCTGAGAACGTGGCATCCGGGCCCTGTTTGTCGGCGCTGATGAGGTCAGCATTTGATCACTTCTAGGATAGATATATATATAGTCTTTGAATGATTTATGTCACTTTGTTCCGTGATTGCCAGCACTTCTGTGGCACAGAGAGCAGGGGGAGGGGAAGCAAGCTGAAACACAAATACAGCATCACCTCATAGGCAGCTTTGCTGAATCGCTTGCTCGTGTGGAGTAGGAAGTTTCACGCTACTAGCTGTGACGCCGTGGGCTGACTTTTGCAGAAAGGTATATTTAACTCGTTGCTATCACACTCTCTCCTAGAATTGACACAGAAGGAGCTTTTCTAAAAGGACATGAGGCTGGAACTCAAACTTCTGTGCTCTAACTGGAAGTTCCACCAGGGTCCAGGCCACCCCGCTGTTTGACACCCCCACATCTTCGAAGCCGAGCTGTCTCTCCCTCACTCAGTCTGCTTCTTCTGCTGTTCTCTTTCCCTCCTAGCTCGCGAACACACCCTTAGCCTCCTCGGCTAATTCCTAGCTTCTGCCTGCAGCTCTATGGTGGGGGTGGTACCCCGGATATACAGTTAACCTTTCTCTGTTTCATCCTTCTGTTCCCCAGAGCTGTCCCCATCCACTTAGATGCAGAGTCATTTATTCCTGCACAGCTCACAGCCTGCTGGGTGTTAACACAGAGATGCCTACTAGGCATCATAGATTTAATTAATTAAAAATGGAACTAAATATTATTTCTCCTTCTAAGTCCTCCATTGTCACAGTTGCTAGCATTATTAAGAATTCTGTTCATGGCATGCATTCTTTGAAAAGAAGTCTGGGTTTGATAGGTCCAGCTATAAGATACGTATGCTCTTTGCTCTGATTTGAGTCTGATCTGTGTGGCTCCTGTGGGTCTGTTATGGTTGGAGGTTTGAGTCCCTCAGTGGCTCTCCAGTGATGCGATGAAATCGTTAGGGCGGGGACTCCCGTGGGAATGTCCCTAGCCACTGGAGCTGGCATGTTCTGGGTGACCCTTCACTGCTTCTCAAGTGGCATTTCACAGTTCTTATGAGAGGATTATTATTATAAAAGAAACCCATTGGTCCCCACACAGCTCTCTTCTCTTCCTGGGGTCCCACTATCGCCACCCACCATCCACCATATTCCAGCCACCAGGAGGCAACAGAGCCAGTGAGTGCCCTTCAGGGCTGCAGTGTGTCATTTGGGGCCTGAACTTCTTCATGCGTCTCCTGTATTTTTTATTTTATTTTATTTTATTTTTCCCACCGTAGTGAAGCCCACTGTTGGTCTCAATTTCATTACAATCACAGCCTATTTCTATAAGGTCACATGTGTACGACATCATTTGTGCTGGCTGGAAACTGATAGGGTGAATGTCCCTCTGGGGAGACGGGTGTTGGCAAACACAGCCACTATGTAGCTCTTTGATAAGAAAGATGTGTTCCGTGTTGTATTTTGAAGTACAAAAGCACCTTGCAAATTAGTGTAGTTAGTAGTAGCGAACTCTACCTGTGTCTGTGTGCTCAGGTGGACGCAGGAAAGGAGCCATCTCATAGACTTCACACTGGCTCCCCGGTGGGGCAGGGGTGTGGAGGAGCAAGCACGTGCTACCTTTGTAATACATAAAAACCACCCCATTGCTAATCATCCCGCGTTTCTTGCTGCTCACTCCAGGAAGAATGTCAGCCTCACTGGCTGTCCTGCGCTCCTCCTTTGGATGAGTCATTGTGTTCGGGTCTACGTCCTCTAACCTACAAAGTCACCAAGGGCAGGGACTGTGTTGTGTATCTTGTCACTTGGACACCTCTTGGAACACAGTAACTGACCTGAAATGAGGATTTAGTGTGATTGTTTTATGTTTCTATTGCCTGGGCAACTCATGACTTTTTCTCCTAACTCACAGATATCGCAAATGCCTTACCCAAACCCTCACCTCACACACAAACTCCCCTCTTGTTCTCTGGGAAATTTGTTCTTGGAACACCGTGTGCTCTCTTATCAATTCCAGGGTCTGGTGTTTAGTCTTTTGTGTGTATTTCTCCCATTTCTGCATCCTGCATTTGGTGTCTCTGTATTCATTCATATCACAATTAAAGAAGTCAAAAATAGCATCTGTAACAACCATGATGATGATGCTAGTCAGAGAGCTGATGCCTCCTGTGTGTCACTGGGAAACATGAAACATCACTTTGATACTAGCACCAAACTTCCAAAAAGTTCATCAGAGATTGAGTGGGGAGCCCCTTCTAGGAAAACAGCTGCCGTTCTCCAGAGAACCTGTCACCCCGCCTGCAGCCTTCTTCATACCCCCGCCAGACACTGAATACAGACATACTGGACCGACCTTTGTGTGAACCTCAACCTGCTGACTCATGAGTTTGCTGGCTCAGATCCAGCCATTTTTTAAGACTCATGGCTAATGCCTGAGTCTCCTGAAAGGGGTGTGGCCGACGGTCAGCCAGACTTGATGGATACGTTGTTCCACCAGTCTTTCTGTCAATCCTCTGTGCACTCACTGCCCCGTGCTGCATTCCAGAGCTTTGACCAGCGCCGATTGCGCATCTGCCACTGGCCAGGCATGGTTCATCAGACTGTACAACACACAGCGTAACCAGCCATGATGTCACTGACATGCAGAGGAGCCGCAGCACAGGATGCCTTAAAACAGGTTCAGTTAAGTCGTCAAGAAGATATTTGTATCCCAAGAAGATCACAGGCTAAGACTTCAGAGCTAGCAAGTGTCCAACCCTCTGCTGGTTCTCAAAGTCGCCATACCCCTCTCTTGCCGCTTCACTCATGGAAAAGGGGGACACGTGCTAATCCACAAAATTAGCTGTGTCAGAGAGAGGATTTTGTATTCTGCTAAACTCTACTGATAATAAGGACTGAATAATTAAAGTAATTATAATGAAAATGTAGTGCATACACACAGTGGAATTTTATTCAGTTATAAAGAAAAAGAAAATCATGAAATTTCTAGTAAAATTGTTAGACCAGGAACTTATATTAAGTTAGATGATCCAGATTCAAAACAACAAATACAGCATGTTCTTAAATATCTATCTATCTATCTATCTATCTATCTATCTATCTATCTATCTATCTATC